GGAGCAGCTGCTGTCCCAAGTGAGGGTCCTAAATCCCTCAGAGCAGAGCAGGGGTGCACTCTCAGCTCCCCCATCCTGCTCTCCCTGCCCTGCTGGGATCCTCCCTTGGCAGTGATATTTCAGCTGCCAGGACACTGAGTATCTCCCCCAGGAAATGTTCTGAGAAAGGAGCTCTGACATTTTGGGGTGGCTCAGAAGACACATCATTAACCCTTTGGGGATCTCCTGGGAAGGGAGGCCCTGGGCTCTCCATCCAGGGATGTGCTGGCAGGAACAGCAGATGGAGGGGCTCTGACTCCTCTCTGCTCCCAGAAATCCCCACGGTTCCAAAGCTGCTCCTGCTCCTGTGAAATCTGCATTTCTGTCAAATGTCAGGGAATGCCAGGAGGAGCACGGACACAGCAAAGTTCCTGGAACGCTCTGGGTGCTTTCCAGGCCCTTTCCCTGATTCCCCACCACCTGCACCTTGAGTGGTTCCTCACAGCAAAGTGCAGGGGCTGGGGAACGGCCGGGGATCCTTTTCCACCTGCTCTGTGCTCCCCTCAACAGCTGTAAATGACAGCACAACTGCGAGCAGCAGGGGCTGGGACGCCTTCCACACACAGCCCCGCGCTGATCCTCGGCAAATTAACTCCAGCACTTGCTGGGGATTCGGGGGAGAACTCGCTAATTCCGTGAAGGAGGAGAGGAAGAGGTTTGGAGCAGAGCCCAGCTGGTCTGGGGGAAGGGAGAGAGAGAGAAGGGGGATGGATGGATGGATGGATGGATGGATGATGGATGGATGGATGGATGGATGGATGGATGGATGGATGGATGGATGGATGGATGGATGAGGGGAAAGCACTGAGAACCTGGGGGGAATCTGGATCCCCTGGGCTTTGGGGGAAGGCATATGGATGGATGGATGGATGGATGGATGGATGGATGGATGGATGGATGGATGGATGGATGGATGGAGGGAAAGCACTGATAACCTGGAGGGAACCTGGATCACCTGGGCTTTAGGAAAGGCACTCATAACCTGGAAGGAAACAGGATCCCCTGGGCTTTGGAGGAAGGCATTGATAACCTGGAGGGAATTTGGACCTCCTGGGCTTTGGGGGAAGGCACTGATAAACCAGAGAAAACCTGGATCCCCTGGGCTTTAGGGGAAGGTTCTGATAACCTGGATCCCCTGGGCTTTAGGAAAGGCACTGATAACCCAGAATGAATCTGGATCCCTGGGCTTTAGGAAAGGGCAGAGCCCTGCTGAGCCCCTGGGAGCAGGGCCAGGGGCACAAAGCCCCTTCCTGATGTGCTGCTCAGGGTGGAAGTGCTCCCCACGGTGCTCTGGGCTTGCCTGGAGATGTTTGCCACAATTCCCATGAAGATGGAAGGCCTGCCCTGCATTTGTTCACATTCAGAAGGAGCTCAGAATGTGCCTCTGGGTGCGAGGCACTGCTGAAAGCAGCACTTTGAATGCATCCATCTCTGGAACATCCTGACTCAAACTGCTTATTAAAAGCCTTCCCCAGATAGATCAGGCTAATCAGAGCAGCAGCCTGTGCTGTTTGCTGCATTCCAAGTGGTGATCCTGGCCAGGAGCTCTAATCCACACCTGCAGGTCCCAGCACAGGTGAGGGGCAGATTTTAACCCTGGAAAAGTCTCGCTGTGCTCAGCCCTCCCCTGGCACCTCTGGAGCTGGGTGCAGAGCAGTGCATCCCCTTGGAGAGGCAATGGATATGCTGAGAATGAAGGGACAACAGAATATAAATCTAGGCCAGAGTGCTTCCTCTACAAACATATTTTGTCCTTGCTCTCCCAGCCTCCTGCTCCTGGAGCAGTCAGAGGTACCAGAGCTCCAGGCACAGCTCCATGCTGGGCTGGGGGACACCTGGGACCCTTCCCTGCTGACAGCATTTCACAGGGGTGACAGGAACAGCCCTGTCCTGAACAGATTTGCTTCCCACATCAGTCTGATGCTCCTGAATATCCCTTTTCTCCCAGGCTGGGACGAGCTACATGGAAAAGAGTCAGTGTGGGAGAGCCAGCAGGAGACTGGGGATAAGGCAGCACTGCAGACACGTGTGTGCTGGGGACAAGAGATTTGTACCAGCCGTGGGGCAGCATTTGAGTCCCCCTGAGCCATCAGGATTTAGTGAACCCAGCACTTTGACAGAGCAGTGATTCACATCAGCCAAATGTCTCAAAGCCTTCCGTGGGGTCACCTGTGGTTTGTCCTTGGCTTGGAGAAGAGCCATGAGATGACCCTGCATGTCTGCCACCCTCTGCTCCCAGGGCACCCAGGGAACTCCCGTGGGAGCAGCTCTGTGCACCTTTCACTGTGCCACACACAGCCCCCTCCCAGAGACCCCAAACTGTGCCACACACAGCCCCAGAGACCCCAAACTGTGCCACACACAGCCCCATCCCAGGGACCCCAAACTGTGCCACACACAGCCCCAGTGACCCCAAACTGTGCCACACACAGCCCCATCCCAGAGACCCCAAACTGTGCCACACACAGCCCATCCCAGAGACCCCAAACTGTGCCACACACAGCCCCACGCCAATCCCCACAAACTCTGTCCCTACAGGGTGCCCAGAGCAGCTGGGGCTGCCCCTGGATCCCTGGCAGTGCTAAGGCCAGGCTGGACACTGGGTTTGGAGCAGCTGGCACAGTGGGAGGTGTCCCTGCCACGGAGGGGTGGGACAGGAGGTTTGTAAGGTCCCTCCCAGCCCAAAGCAGTCTGGAATTCCTCTGGAGCAGCAGTGGGAGATGGAGTCCTCTCCCCTGCCCCCAGCAGGACCTGCCCAGGCTGCTCTGCAGCCTCAGGCACAGCCCAGCTCCATTTGTCACTGTCACCCACAATCGTCCTGCTCACTGACACCGAGCCAGCCTCGCGGAGAAATGAAGCCAAGGTTTATTTAGCAGGACTTAGGGGCACCCTTCCAATTATAAGTTTGGAAACAAAAGTTCCAAGTCAAACGAACACCAAACTCAATCAGCCCCTGTGCAACGAGGACAATCCTTTCTGGCTGCCTCACCTCTCCTGCTCTGGGCTCCTCAGTCCAGCCACAGCCACCAGACCTGCTGCTTTCCAAACCCTGCAGCTCTGGGCTCCTTGAGCCAATTTGCAGCCCCAGTGAGCAGTGCCTTGCCTGGATCCTGCTATTCTGTATTACTGACTCTTTTTCCTCCAGCTCTCCCTCTTTCCTGCTTTTTTTTTTTTAATTTTCTCTTTCATTTTCTTCCCCTTGTCCCCAAAAAACAAGCATTGCTGATTTTCTGCTCCACACCAGGGCTGACCAGCTTTATTCTGTTTAAGCTAGGACACATACTTCTTCCCAGCTGAAAGATTTTAGCATCCACTCGTGCAATTTCCTAATCCCAACAATAATCGGAAGTTTGGCTCACAACTGAGCACAGACACCACAGAGCATTGCCCTGCTCTGCCCATAAAACATTACAAGCAAACATTACCTGTAAAGCTGTTTTATGAGCTCGTGATCTCTGTGAGTGATCAGCTTTCTGTCTGCCCTGATCTACGAGCTGATGGTGGCCACGGCTGAGCCAGGAACAAGTTCTTTTGGGCAAGCTCTCCCTTCCCAGCCCTGGCAGGGGCTGCTGAGGGCTCAGTCCAGCTGGCTGCCCCGAGGGAGCAGAGCCAGTGCCAGGCAGGGAGGCTGTGCTGGGAGTGCTCTCCGGTGTGCCTTTGGGGACCTCTCCTTTGCCTGGGCTCCCCTGTGATGGCTTTTCCCCCTCACACAGCCTGGCAAACATCACCCAAGCAGGGGCTGGGTGCTGTTCACATCCTGCCTTTCCCTTCTTGATCTCCTGGCAGGACCAGCAGCTGCTGCCCGGCTGCTGTCACTCTGCACCGTCTCTAATTCCCATTTATTTGGCATTTTCCTGCTTGCTAATTAACTTTTTCTGTTAGTCCAACTGGATCCCAAGGTGTGACCTGCTCACAGCTCTGAGCTCTGGTCCCTGCATCCTCCCCTGCCTCACTTCTGCACCAGCAAGTCTCAAAAACCCCTGGGAACCCTCAGCTCCCCCCGGACAGCAGGCAGGGCTCCTGCAGCCAGCATCTCCCTCCAAACTTTGCCATTTATCCCCTCTCAGGTTTGCAGTGCCTGAGCTCAGCACCGAAGCCAGCCTGGCAGCAGCCAGCTGTGCCTCCAGCTGCCAGCCAGCAATTCCTTCTGCCCCTCCCTTCTGGATCTGTGTGCCCTGGTGAGCAGCAGGAGACACGGGGAAGGGACAGAGTCTCCAGAAGGTGTTGATGGCACAGAACCCCAGCATTGTTTGGGCTGCAAAAGGCAGCCAAGAGGATTGAGTCCACCCTGTGCCCCATCCCCAGCCCAGAGCACTGAGTGCCTACCACTGAGATTTATATTGTATTATATTGTATTATATTGTATTATATTGTATTATATTGTATTATATTATATTATATTATATTATATTATATTATATTATATTATATTATATTATATTATATTATATTATATTATATTATATTATATTATATTATATTATATTATATTATATTATATTATATTATATTATATTATATTAATTTATAGTATAGTATATTGTGTATTTATTATATTATATTTTATTATAGTATAGTATAGTATAGTATATATTAATTTCTATTGCTATATATTATATTAATTTATATTATATTATATTAATTTATTATATTATATGTATTATATTACATTATAATGCTATACTAAAACTACACTAAACTATAGCGAAAGGATACATCAGAAGCCTTAACCAGAATGAATAATAAAAACTCGTAACTCCTCAGAGCCTCCACACAGCTGGACCATGAGTGGTCATTAAATTAAAACAATTCACATGATTAATAAGCAATCTCCAAACCACATCCCAAAGCAGCAAAACAGGGAGAAGCTGAAGCTTCTCATCCTCCCAGGAGAAGAATCCTGGCGAGGGGGTTTTCAGAAGTCTCTGCTGGCTCCAGGGCTCACGGGGAGCAGCACTCACCTGGGTTGCTCTTGGAGGTGCGCACGGGGGTGTAGTGGTTCTTGGAAGAGCTCCTGACTGGGGTGTTTTCTTTGGGGGAGGTATCTATGGCCGAGATTGTCTCTCTTTCACAGTGTCCGATTGGGATTGGTCCCTGCTGCCTTAGGATGTCGGCCAGAGCCCTGGGGAGACAGGAAAAAAAGGGGGGAAATGTATTTTAACACAGCTAGAATTCAATATTTCAGAATAGAATTGAACAGAATTCAGTACTTGTACTTGTGAATCCAAAGCAGCTGGGTTCATACCATAAACAGAGAAAAAAGCAACATTAGCAGTAATAATAAAATTTAAAAATATGGCTTAAAAGCTCTGTTTCTTTCTGTGCATCTGCTGCAAGTATTTCCAGGCTTGCCTGGCTATTGTTTGGTGTCTCATCTGCTGTCTCTAATTCACTGCAGCCCTGGGTTGTGGTTCCTCTCCATCACCTCCCAGAGCACACAAACTGCCCCTGGCACACTGAGCTCTGCCTCCACCAGGAGCCACTGCTGGCCCCAGCCTGGCACCTCCCAAAAGTGCCACCAAAACCGCCCTGCCCGAGCCAAACTCCCTTAAAACTGCCTCAGATCAGGATCCCCATGTCCTGAAATCCCTGCTCAAACACAGCTCAAACCCCAGCAGTGCTGGGAGTGGCTTTTAAGGGACAACCACGAGCCAGAAAAATGGATTAACCAACTTGCAGGGCTCGGTGTCAGCACAGCTCTGAGCCTGCCTTGAGCCCTGTGCTCAGCAGGGATTGCTTTAAAGGCTGAGTTCTCCCTGCCATTCCCAGGAAAAGCAGTGCCACCCAGTCCAGCTGCAGCCAATGCTTTCCCCTTGGATGCTCCAAGATCTTTTTGCCCCCTCTGTGAGCATCATGGACACATGAAGTGCAGTGCCCTGATTTTCCTTCTCTGCTGGGCTTTAGGAAAAGCAGGAAAGGGGTGGCTTGTGTGGGCTGTAAGGGACACAAGCCATTTCAGTGACACTTAAAAGCTGATGAAGATGGAAAATCTATTTTCTCCTGGCAAGGGGAACATGTCTGGAGTCACCTGGGGTCCCAGGGAAGGTGTCAGGAGGAGACATCCCCTCACTGCACATTAACGAGAGGGATGCTGGCATTGCTCACAACCACTGGCATCCCATAAATGCCACATTTCTGGGCTTTCATATGAGAAATAGTTTGGGCCCTGGGTCCGTTCCATTTTCCAAATCATTTCCTCTCCAGACTCCTGTCCCTGTGCATAATGGATTGCAATACTAATGTGCTCCACAGAAGGAACTCTTGGAGGATCTCAGAGGCTCCTGAGCAGGATCACATTAGTTCAGCACCAGCCTGTACAGAATAAGGATATTTTTACCCTTTTTTTGATTATTTCTTGGCTGTACAAAAAGCAGATCTGAGGGCTGTAACCAACCAGGGGATATCTGTGTGTGCAGATTTTTCAACCCCACACCTTGCATTAGCTCTGTTATTTACTGGCCCACAGTGGCCCGGGCTCGTTTGGAACACTCGTCCAAGACTCTGCGAGTGCAATCACTCAGGGAGCAGGGAAAACACCAAAGCAGGCTGGAGAACTCCAGAACACCTCATTCCAGCTGTCCCAAGGGAGAGGGCAGGGTGGGCTGGGCACAGGGGGAGCTGCAGGGGCTGTGGAAATGGGACAGAGCAAAGCAGCAAGCCAGCTTGGATGGAGCTGGTTCGTTCTGAGCCAATTCAGTCACGGTGCTGTGTGGCATCCAGAGAGTTTCCATAAAGCCCTGAGGGCTGGGAGGTCAGTCCCACTTAAAAGAGGCAGATTTGTTGGTGACAGTCCCCTGGGTCCAGCTGGCTCACGGCCCCAGGAGAACAGGCTCCCTGGAATATCTGGGCGCTGTGTGTGCAGCCATCTGGGTACAATTAGTGCCACTGATGTCACCAGCCCCCTAATCACCTGCACAAGGATGTGAGACACTCCAGGAGCCTTCCTGTGACGACAAGTCTGTTATCTGAGGAGCACAAGCCTCGCTGCTGGAGCGTGGCACTGATAAGGATTTGTGACACCTTTCCCTCACGTCACTGCCAGGCTGAGTCTCTGTGCCACCCGCACCCAGAGCAGCCCCAGGGCCAGCTGGGACACTGCTCCAGGGGGCTGCACGGGCCTGGGGGAGGGAAACCCACGAGGCTGGGCAGCCCAGGCCAGGTCCTGCTCCCTGGGATGGCTCTCCTGGCACTCAGGACAAATTTGAACACCAGGGTTCATCAATTTTCAGAAGGAAAAATCAAAAGGATTTGGTGTAAATCCAAAGGAATCAAGGGGGTGGATGGAAGCAGTGGGGCAGCAAGGCTGGGCATCAGCTGGAGCCTGGTGCTGGAAATGACAGACTTTGATCCCAAAATGTCTCTGTGTAGTCAGGGAGAAGGTGAAGCTGCAGGGCTGGGAGGGAGCAGCTCATTGCAGCTCACCCTGCCCCTGTAACCCAGCCCAGAACCTGGATCTGCTCCCTGGATTGCCCACGAGGACTGCTGTCCTCCCCACAGCCTTTTTGGGAAAGCATTGTCCACTTTCCCCATGCCCACAGATTCCCAACACCAGCTAACAGTGTGAGTGTGGGCACGGGTGTCCCTGCTGCTGGAGGCCAGGGGAGCTCTGGTGACAGCTCCAGCAGGCTGGCAGCAAAATGAGACTGGGCTGGGTGGGAATGCACAGGGAGGAGCTGCCTGTTCCCAGCAGTGCACCCCAAAACTGATTCACCTGCTGAAAATCCCCTCTCGTGCAGACCTCAACAGCAGTGCTAGAAAACAGAACTGCCTGCTCCAAGTCCCTGAGAATTCGGGGAGGAATGGAAGGAGAATGACCCAGTGGGGCTGGCAGAGCACAGTGAGCAGAGCAGTGCCTGGCTGAGCTGCAGCTGCTAAAAGCAGAGCGGGGATGGAGCTGGTGGCAGCACTCCAATGGCTTCAGCACAGCCAGGATTCCACTACAAAAACAGCCAGGTTAAAGACTCCCCTATGCTCTGTAACTAACTGGGGAAGAAAGAGGCAGTTATTCCAGGAGATGGATTTGTCCAGCCTGGAGCCAGCTCACCTGGAAGGGACAGCTCCCTCTGAGGGACAGCACTTGGGTCACAGCCACGGCCACAGAGAGCAGCCATGCATTATTCATGGCCTGCCTGCTGTCCCCACACCTGCTCTGCCCTGGGAAGCTGCAGGCTGACCACACCTGGGGCTGGCCACTCCTGGGGCATCCCCACACTCCGGGGAGTTTCACACCAAATCCTCTGCTCTGAGCACACCTAAGGGGCTTTGAACTCTGGAAAAAGCTGAGCTTCCTCTGAAGAGCCCTCACAACAAAGGAGGTGGTGGTGAGAGCACAGCCCAGCATTTATTGTGAAGAATTGTGTGTTTATCCACTGGGGAAGGAGATATCTGAGCCCTCCAAGCAGTGCAGAGCACACAGATCTGAGCCAGCCCGTGTGAGGGGGGGAAAGGCAAGCAGCACATGCCCTGGCCTCATCTTCCCCAGAAAGTTCAGATCTTATGTGAAACAGAAATTTTAAAAGGCATCTGATCTCCAAAGGCACAGAGATCAACTGCTACTTAAGGATATCAGAGATTACAAAACCAAAAGGAAGAGAAGTTCAGAGCTGCGCTGGATTCCCTCGACACCTCGTGATGGAGCTGGACTAACAGAAAAAGTTAATTAGCAAGCAGGAAAATGCCAAATAAATGGGAATTAGAGACACTGAGATGATTTGGTGGAGGCAGCATGGTTTCTGAGTCTGGCCTCTCTTGTAATGGGAGAAGTTCAAAAGGAAAGGAGAAGCCCAGAAGCATCCAGAGAAAGTCAGGCCAGGCAGCCTCTGCTCCCACAGAGTCAATCTCTTCATAAAATAGACTCAGAGAGGAAAACACAGCAACAAAAACAATTATCAATCTGCAAACCACAATCAGAGCTCAGACTGGAGCTTTCCCATGGAAGTGAAACAAAAGGAGAAATGTTTTGTACAGGTACAGGCACACAGAGACACACCTGGCCTGGATCTGGGTCTGCATCTGGACAACTGCCTGCAAAAGGACAAGATCCAGGTGCTCTCCCTGCTGAGGAGTTACCCCAAACCCAGGCAGGTGCAGGGTTGGTTTGAAACAGAACTAATCCCGAAGAACTCCTCTGAGGTCACAAGTGAAGGTGTCCCTGCCCATGGCAGGGGGTGGAATGAGATGATCTTTAAGGTTCCTTCCAACCCCATCCATTCTGTGATTTTATGGCTGCACTTTTTTTGTTTTTTCTTCCTTCAGTCTGACCTGTACTCTGTGCCTGTGAGAGGGACAGGGCACTTCAGAGGAGAGACTCAGAAACCACCAGGATTAAACAACTCAAAGCAGGGCAAAGAGCAGCTGAAAGGCACCCGAGTGAGTCCGAGCAGAGTGAAAAAAGACAGAGCATAAAAACACATCAGTGGAAAGAGACTGAAAGCAGGAACAGCATCCAAGAAAGAAAACCTCCTGCAGAGTCCCTGTGGCCAGGAGTGTTCACAGCACTCCCTGCCTGCCCTGGGGACCAGGGGTTTGATCCTTTGGCTCCAGCAGCACAGAGCAGAGCTGAAGGAGCTGCCTGTGATCCCCGCCTCAAACACCAGGGCTGCAGAGAGGCACTGCTCATAACCTTCACACCTGAAAGCAGCTCCCTCCAGCAACCCCTCAGCAAGCACAGGGCCCCGAGCAGGGGGGATGCAGCCTGCAGGAGCACAAACCCTGCTGCATTTCACACAGCCCAGCAGCTCCTTGGATCTGCGAGCAGACAGATCCATTGCCTCCGGTTCCTGCTGGAATTCAGAGCCACGGAGCAGAAACAAGGAGTGGATCAATTAAACTCTGGTCTCTACACAGGCAAAGGATGTTGGTTTACAAAAGCTGGCAGTGATCACGCACAGAGCAGGAGAGGCAGAGGCTGGAGAGAAGAGCAGCACAGATATCTTCCCTCTTTGCAGCAGCACAGATGCTGTGGGAGGAGGGTGAAGCGAAGCACAGCTCAGAGCCTGTTTCCCTTCTCCCTCTCCCACCCCTCAGCCACGCTCCATGCCAGGCCAGATAAGGCCTTTTAGCAGCACACAGAGCTGGTTTGCTGGGAAAAAAATCCCTGTGCTGCTTCCCAGGAGAGCAGCTGGGCTCCCACCAGTGCCCCAGGGCCAGCTCTGCCCCTGTGTCCCTCTGCCTTCAGCTGACCAGTGGGATGCACTCGGGATATTTCAGTCCAGGTCCCAATCTGTGCATTCCCAGCTCGGCAGAGTGCAGCGGCTGCTGCTGAGGCTAAGCAGGGGTCGTGGAGCAGTGCTACGTCTGTGAATTATTTGTGTTCTGTAGCATGGGGATGCGGGGTCACGGCCACGGAATGAGAACGTTCTGTGTCACCCTTTCTTGCTGCAGAAAATCTCACCCAGGTTTGGAAAGAACCAGCTGATATTCCCTGCTCAGAGATTCCTTAACTCATCCCCAGACTGGAAGTAAAGCAAATACTTCTTAAATTTCACTTAAGAAATGCTCGTGAGAAGAAAACAGCACTGGCAATGAGACAAAACCAAACCATCCTCACCAATGCATGAGAGAGCATCAGCACACACAGCACTGCTGGGTGAAATTCTCAGAAACCAGCCCCAGCTTCTACCTGGAGCCCAGCAAAGTTCTGGCTGTGCAGCCCCCAAAGCAAGAGGCAGCTCTATACAGCCAGGCTCAAAGATCCTATAATTGCCAAAAAAGAAAAAAAATCATTTCCTTTGAAAGCACTACAAGCGTTTCTGTACAATAGGAATATTTCAGCTCCTGGTTTTCAAAGCACTTCCACTTAACTGCTGTTAGAAACGCCTGTCTCAGTGATTGTGAGCCCAGAATCTCAGCAGTGCCTTGCTTTAAAGGGACGTGGCAGTGCCTGGAAACTGGAGCTGATTCCAGCTCGGAGCTGCACATGCACAGCCAGCCCTTCCTTCCACCGACAGCTCTCAGGGAATTTGTAAACCCTCCTTCCACCAAAAGACATCGTAGGAGCCCTGCCTCCCTCAAAATGTTCTCTCTAAGCGAGTTCACGAGGATTTGCTGTAAAAGCTGGACGAGGAATGGGCAGAGGGATAACATCCACCCACGGCACTGCTCGGCGAGCATTTACGAGGAGGTAAAATTTACAGTGTGAAGCTGCTGGTGGGGAGGTGCAGGGAACTTCTGATTGATCTTCCCTGCCGTGGGATACGAGCCCAAGAGGCTTCCTCCAGCCCCCTGTAGCAAGTTGTGCTCATGCTGCTCTCTCCCCCTCCCAGAGGATGCACACTGAGGTTTAAAGCACTCGCCATCACTACAGAATTATTCTGGATGTCACACTTCACTCCAGCTGACACGACCTCAAACAGACAGAAATACCTGACCCCAGCCTGCTTTCCTCCTTCCCTGTTCCTCCCCAGCAGCTGTCAGAGACAAAGGCAAACCATTCCTCTCCTCGAATTTACATTCTGCTTAGAGCACCCAGAGCATTCAGCCCAATGCAGGAGATGCACTTCAAAATATTTAAACCCTCGTGCGATGTTGATCAAGTTCAGGTAACACAGCTCTGAAAGGTATAATCTTTTACCAGCTACCATATTATAGAAGTCAATCAACTCCTTAAAATGCTCTGGAAGTCAAGCTTCCCGAGCACTCAATCTGCCATTCATACTTCTACACCCAGGTGAATCATTTCACCAGAACTTATCTAAATAAAGCAAAGCAAGCATCAAAGAAATGAAAACATCAGGAAGAATCCAGACAAGTCTGGCAACACTGGCTCTGATTTCCAAGGGTGAAGGATCCAACCCTGCAGCAGGCTGGAGCTGGAGCAGAAGTAACATATGGACATCCAACCCAGATTTCCAAATTTAGTGTGAAGATAAGGCCCAGGCAAAGTTGCCTTGAAGCCAGAAGAGCTGGGCAGCTGGGGAACCATCCCTTCAATTAACAAAAGACTTAAAAGAGATTATTTTCTGGCTAAGCCACTTGCAGGACCCTTGCCTCTACACAGTTGTGTGTAATTTCTAACACTGTGGAGTTACATTCTTGCAGGGACCAGGGGCAGGTGGGACTTGGAATGGAATATGTGGGCCAGACCCTCAGCAAATGTAAACCAGCCTCACTGTTTGTCCTCACTTCAGGGAGGAGTCTAAATAAAAAACATCTTCCCAAATAAATAAAAACTGCGTCATTCATTTCTTTTTCTTTGTAAAAAACTAATATTTATCTCCCCATCTCTGCTGATTGCAGCTCAAGTTAAGCCTTAAAAACATGGTCAATGATTTCAAGAGTTCTGATTAAAAATCTTCATTAAAATAATTTCAGGAGGCATTATCTGCTAGAGTTAAGGTCTTTCCCCCTGGTGCTCACCACTGCCCTTCTAAAGAAGCCTCTCACCAATTTTTGTGTTCAGACACGGGGAGCTCTCGCATTCACGGCACGCAAGCAGCACTCATCATTTGGAGGGACTTTTTCATCATAAAATAAATATGAACCGGGAGAGAACACGCATTTGTCCAGAAGGAGGACTGCTACAGAGCCCGAGCTTTTGCTGTGAAGCAGGATTTTGTGTGCCACGCCGAGCGCTGCCGTCCTCGCAGCACCGCCGCTGCCGGGGGAACAGCGAGCCCGCAGGGACGGGCACGGGCTGCTGCCACCGGAGAGGCACCGCACGAAGAGGGGAAAGACAGAGCTCTGCCACCAGCAGCGCGTCCCCGCACAGCCCGGCCGCCCCCGGGGGAGGAACCGCCCCGCGGGTCCCCATCCATCCCTCCGCACTTCCCAGGCTTCCCCTGGCAGGACAGGACAGGACAGGGCAGGGACAGGGACAGGACAGGGACAGGGACAGGGACAGGGACAGGGACAGGGACAGGGACAGGGACAGGGACAGGGACAGGGACAGGGACGGGGACAGAGACAGGGACAGGGACAGGGCAGGGACAGGGACAGGGCAGGGACAGGGAGAGGGACAGGGAGAGGGACAGGGACAGGAGAGGACAGGGCAGGGACAGGGCAGGACCCGCGGGGTCCGAGCGGCTATGATGCCCCTGGAGGGTGCAGGGGGAGCTCTGGGGAGGCTTGGAGGGGAGATGGGGGGCCTGGGGGCTGCTGAGGATCCCGGGTGCAGGGAGGGAATGCCAGGGGCAGGAGGGGCATGCTTGGGGGCAGGAGGGATGTGGGGGGGTCCCGGGGAAAGGAGGAGGGGTGCGGGGTGCAGGGAAGCCAAGCTGGGATGCTGGGGGACACTCCGAGGGACAGGAGGGGGCTGTCGGGGTGCCGCAGAACAGGAGGGGCTCCGAGGGGTGAAAGGGGGTGCCGGGGTGCAGAGGGAGGCTCTGGGGGGTAAGAAGGGGTGCCGGGATGCCGAGAGGAAAGGGCGACGTTCTCTGATGTAGAGGAGGATGCCGGGGGACAGGAGGGGAATGCCGGAGGCAGGAGGGGGTGCCGGGGTGCCGGGGGAGGATACGCGTGGAGCTCCGGGACGGACTCTGGGCAGAGCGGGGCAGCGCGGAGCTGTCCGGGAACAGCCCGGGAATTATCCGGGAGCTGTCCGGGAATAGCCCGGGAGCTGTCCGGGAACAGCCCGGGAATTATCCGGGAGCTGTCCGGGAATAGCCCGGGAACAGCCCGGGAGCTGTCCGGGAGCAGCCCGGGAGCAGCCCGGGAGCTGTCCGGGAATCACCGGGAATTATCCCGCAGCTGTCCCGGAGCTGTCCGCGGAGCCGGTGCTGAAGGCGCGGGGAGCAGAGCACAAGCGCGGCCGCGGGAGAAGAGCACGGGGCAGCCGGACAGGCCCCGGGGAGGGCAGTGGGATGGACAGAGGGTCCGGGTGGCCCTGGTGGGACCGTGGGAAGGAGGAACACCTAGGCAGAGGATGGAAAGGGAAAATTCTTTGGTGGACGGTGCAAAGAGGGAAGCCTTGGACAGCTCTCGCAAAAGGGGAAACCCTCGGATAAATCACTCAAGGGGAGACCCCTCGAAGCGGCAGCACAATGGGAAATCGTTTGGAAAGGTGGCACAGCCGTCGGAGAGCCGTGGCACTGGGGAAGGAAAGCCTTGGAAGGGTTGGCAGGGGAAACTCATGGAGAGCCAGAGCAAAGCATAGAGACCCGAGTGGGTGCTTCACAGGGAGACTCCTTGGGCACAGAGTGCAGCAGGAGAACCCCTGGACAGCGGTGTAAAAACTGAGCCCTTGGACAGCAAATCCACAGGGAGAATCCCTGGAGGAGCCATACAACGGGAAACTCTCGGACAGGCTGCACAGCTGGGAACTGGTTGGGCACTCAGCAGGAGGACCCTTGGTTGGACACTCAAAAGGAGAAACCTTGGCTGGGTACTCAAAAGGAACACCCTTGGTTGGACACTCCAAAGGAACACCCTTGGCTGGACACTCAAAAGGAGGACCCTGGGTTGGACACTCAGAAGAACCCTTGGCTGGGCAGCGCACTGAGAATCCCTGAGCACACTCTGCCAAGGGGGAGCTCACTGAGGGCGAGCAGGGGAAGCAGCTCACCTGTGAATGTTCATCTCCCGGGGCGGGCGCCGCGCCTTGTCGTAGGCCACCTTGGCAAAGACGCCGGCGATGAGCACGAAGGCGATGGCCCCGCACGAGATGTAGACGGTGGCGTTGGTGCTGTCCTTGTCCGGGTCGTACTTGTTGGCGTCCCCGTCGCCTCCGTCGCCGCCGTCGGCGGGCAGGGCGCCGCTGGCCGTGGTGGGGTGGGCCCACTCGGGGCTCTTGTAGTTGCGGCACAGGCTCTGGTTGAGCTTCTCGGCGCGCTTGTTGCAGCAGAAGCGGTAGAAGCAGGTGCCGCAGCAGTAGCGGAAGCCCGTCAGGCTGTTGTTGCACTCGAACTCCTTGTCCCACTGCCCGCTCACGTCGTAGTACCCCCAGCACGTTTCGTGCGCCGGGGCCGAGCCCCCGCCGCCGCCCCCGCCTCCGGGGGCTGCCTTGCCGCCCCCCGCGCCCTTGCCGCGCCCGGGCAGCGCCGTGGGGGCGGCGGCCCCCGGGCCCGCCAGCGTCTGGTTCAGGAGCTCCTTGCCCGGCTTGGGGGTCCGCCGCGGCGCCGCCGCCCCCTGGGTCCGGTTGCCCTTGGCGCGGGGGGGCCCGGCCGCCTGCGCGGGCAGCAGCAGCAGCAGGGCCAGGAGCTGCAGGGACAGCAGGAGCAGCGGCAGCAGCAGGTGCCGCGGCCCCATGGCGAGGCGCTCCGCCGGCAGCCCGGCACCGCCGCCCGCACCGCCCGGGGCAGCGCCGGGGACCGGGGGGCTCCGGAGGGGCGCGGGGCGGGGGGTACGCGGAGGTGTGTGCGCGGTGCGGAGCCTGTGCGTGCCCCCCGGGGTGTGCGGGTCCTGGCAGGGATGCGGTCCCGAAAGGTGTGGGGGGTGAGGACCCCCTACCTGTCCCCCGGGATGTGGTCCTGGCAGGGGTGTGGTGAATGCCACTGTATCTCTGCCCCGGGGATGTGATCCTGGCAGGGATGTGGTGAATGCCACTGTAGCTGTGCCCCGGGATGTGATCCTGGCAGGGATGTGGTGAGCGGCCACTGGACCTGTCCCTGGTGATCTGAGGTGGTCCTGGCAGGGATGTGGTGAATGCCATCGTAGCTGTGCCCCGGGGATGTGATCCTGGCAGGCATGGGCAGGAATGCGGTCCCTAAAGGTGTGTGTGGGGTGAGCACCCTGTGCCTGTCCCCGGGGGTGTGGTCCTGGCAGGGTTATGGTCCCTAAAGGTGTGTGTGGGCTGTAGATCCTCTACCTGTCCCCGGGGTGTGGTCCCCGTGGGGCTCGGCAGGAATGCAGCCCCTTCAGGTGTATGTGACCCTGTCCCTGTCGCAGGGCAGTGCCTGGGCACAGCCACCACAGGTTGTGTGAGCAAAGATCCCTTCAGGCACAGCAGCTTTCACTGCTGTGAGCCACAGCCACCAAGGCAGAATGGTGTCCCACTGCAAACCCGACTAAAGCCTCTAAGGGCATTTCCTGAAGAAGCCAAGGTGCTGCCAGCTGAAAGGACACACAGAGGACAGCGAGGAACCCCAGCAAGGAGGTGGGAACTGAGGGGAGCCCTGCAGCTGCAGACAGTGTTCAGGAGAGCAGTGCAGGAGGAAGGGAGCAATGGAAAGGGAGAAGCACCCCTAAAAATCCCATCTTGCACCCTGTGGGAATCATTTCCTCAAGCTACCAAGGTGTGAGTGCCCACAGCTCATTTGATAACTCCCTTAGGAGAGCCCACAGACTGTGAGGCTGGCAAAGAAAGCTTCAGCTCTGCCTTCCAAAGCTGCTCTGGTGCTGGGGAGCACCTGGGGAAATGGAAAACCACTTCATTGCTCACAGAAGGGAGGGATGTTACCCTTCCATGGCTGCTGAGAGCTGCAGCTGAGGGAGGTGCCCAGGTGAATGCACACCACGGGCAGTGCCCAAGCCTGAGGCACAGGGAGGCAGCCTGAGGCCAGCGTGGGCCAGCCTGAGCTGCCTTAGTGCAGGCACCCCTCTGAACCCCAGCACCCTGAGCCCAGCCCCTCCTGGGGATGATTCCCCTGCCAAACCCTGACACCAAAGGCTGCAAAGCACATTTCACTGCTGTTGTCAGGAGGCCATCTCCAAACGCTGTGGGCCTTCCACGTGTCCCCAACAAATTCACCACAGAAAGCATCCTCAGCCCTGGGCTGCCTTGAGGCTCTGACCCTGCTTCTGCAAGGCTTTGCAGAGTGTGGGGGCACCCAGAGGGAACAATCCAGGTCCTTCCCTCACCTGGCTGATCCCTGCACAGGGACTGGGGTCTCTGCAGGGCTCTGCTCAGGGGAGAGGAGCTGCCACTGGAAAACCCAGCGTCCTCTCCCAGCTGGGCAAGGCTTCCTGCTGCAGGCAGTCCTTGGGGAAAAGATCCAGTGGTTTTGAGACAGAAACAAGACAGACCTCTGTCCTTACACCAAACAAGGGCACAGAGAGTGCCTGGTGAAGCGCTGAGGGTCAGGTTTTCTGCCCTGCAGGGTATTTGGGGGCTGAGATTGTCTCTTCCTCCGTGCCTGCCCAGCCTCCTGAGCCGGCTGGGCTTGGACTCCCCGTGCTCCTGTGGGGCCAGCACAGCTTTATCGCACCGAGGGGACCACGAAACCCCACCCAGATGCCTCTGCCGCCTGCTGCTCAATTTATCAACGCCAGAGCAAGCTAAAGAAGGACAGATCTTCCCTGGATGCCCGGTATAATCCCATTGCCTTGCCTGGGGCCAAAATACGGGAGAGAAGAAGCTGAAGCAAATGTGAAAAGAAGGGAAGGGTCCCTAAGGAGCAGCGCTGGATTTCTGGGACTTTGCTGGGATTTGGAGCCGCGCTGCTGGCTGTGGAGGGAAGGCCAGAGGCTGAGATGCTCGTGGGGGAAAATGCCTGAGCTGCACTGCCCCCGTGCCCGCCGAGCTGTGTGACAGGGACTCTGTGACAGCCCCATCCCCACCTGCAAGTCACTCCAAAACCTCCAGCACTTTCTCTTTCATCTCCCGTCCCATCCTCCCCGGGTTGTTTTTTGGCAGCGTGACTGTTCCAGAGCTGTTTTCTTGTTTATCTTCTTCGCCGGGTGCTTTCATCTCCGTGCCGGAGCTGCCGCGGCTGCAGGCGGGGAAGGGAAGTGCAGGTTCACCAAGTCCCGAAATCCAGTTCCTCCCCAGCATCCCTCCCTCACCCCTCATCGGCCTCTGATGACTTTGAGAGGAGTTTCTGAAGACTCTGATGTGCTCAAAAGCTGATTCCTCCTCGTCAGGGGATTCAGTTGTGACCGTGAATCTTCATTAAAATGAGCCCAGCACTTCGGACCTAATTTTCCTTCTAAAATTAATGTAGCTACAAAAAGCTCCTAAGAGGAGTTTGGGGGGTTATTTCCTTGGAGCTGGATTCCTCCTTGCCTGAAGAGGGATGGGTGGATCCCGGCTCTGTCCCAGGCAGGAGCTGCTTGTTCCAGGTACAAAAGAGGCTGAGCAGCAAGCAGGGCAATGCCAGGGGAGCAAGTGGGCACAGGGGTGGCAGGGCCTCACACAGGCAGGGCCAGATGTGCTCAGCTTCTCCTGCAGCTTCTGAGCAGCTGTCCCAAAGGACAGGACAAGAAACCGGAGTGAAACAGGGACATTTCACCAGCTTTTCATGGTTGGTTTGCTCCCTGCTGCCTGAGAGGGCTCTGTGGTTTGTATGGTTTTGTACAATTTGAGGAGCTGGGATTCTCCTTCCCCATGGGAACCTCTCGTTTCTTTCTCCCTGTTCCCATTGCTCAGCCGGGTGCAGTTGTCCCTGCCCTGCCGCTCTCACCTGTCCCTGCCCTGCAGTTTCACCTGTCCCTGGCTCCCGTTGTGTCTCACTCAGGGGCAGGAGGCTGCCAGGCCAGGCTGTGATCTGCCCAGCTGGGCAGATAAAGTGCCTACCTGTGCAGGAAAGGTGCCACCAGCACTCCTGGGAGAGGTGCAGGGACTTCCCTGAGCTGTCCCCAGCGTTGGCCAGGCACAGCAGCAGTGCACTCCCTTCAAATGGAGCCATCTGAAGCAGAAGACAGAGAAATTTCTACAGCAAATGAGAAATTCCTCGTTATTTATCCAGCTCTGCTCACAGAGAAACCTTTAGAAAGTGCTTTTACCACTGCAATTCTGCAAAACCCCAAATTTTCCTAATACCCAACCTAAATTTCCCCTTTTTTGGTTTGAAGTTGTTCCCCCTTGTCCTGTCAGTCCAGCCTTATAAATCACCTCTCCATTTTTCTTGCAGGATCTTTCTTGATATCAACAGAAAATCCAGCACAAAGGAAACCCTCCAAACATTCTCTGCAAACTGTGGCAGCCCTGGGGATGCAGGGAGAAGGAGGGGATTGGAGAGACCTCAGTGTGGGTTTCTCTTCTCTTTCTCTCCAGGTCTCCAGTCTGGGGAAGATCATTAGATCTGCTTTGCCCCCCTGCCTTTGCCACTGCAGTTTTGGGGCTCCCCCAGGGCTGCTCAGCCCGGGAGGGCAGCGCACACCTGGGGGCACAGCTGGCTGTGCAGGGCCCTGGGCTGTCAGGGGTTAATTTCCTTGATCTGGCCGCATGTGCACAGAAGGGAGAGCAGTGGGAGCTGTTCTTTTCCGTGTCATTAGAGTCCCTGTTGTCACTTCCATCAGCAGCATGGCACAGCCTGTCCCTGCCACCAGGGCAGCTCCTGTCCCAGCTCCCAGCCGGGCGCTGCTCCATCAGTGTCCCACAGAGCTGCTTTTCCTGGGATCTGGCACACCCAGCAGCTTCTGCTCCGTCCGGATCGCCCTGCAGCTCCAGCCTGAGCCGGGAGGAGCCAGCAGAGGAGCAGATGGAAGGAGCCAGGCTCAACATCCCCACCTTGCACGGTCATTACCAGCCAGGCCTGGGCGCAGGTGATAACAGCAGAGAGATGAGAGTAATTAGCACTGATTAGCTGCCTCCGAGCCCAGCAATGTGACACTCAGAGGGCTCCCAGGCTCTGCAGCCCGTTCCTGTGTCCACCCCACCTCAGGCAGGCCTCCAGGGACAGCGCAGGACAACCAGCCTTGAGGTGACGTGTCCCCACACCTCTCACCCTTGGCTCAGACCCTTTTATCCGGATGTTTCCATCAGCAGCAGAAGCCAGGAGCTCATCTGCAGCCTGCCAGGGCTCAGAAGATGTGTGATCCCAGAGCTCATCCTGTCTCAGCTCACCCAGGGCTGTCCTCACACGGGGCTGGGCAGCCTGAGGGACATCGATGTCATCACAGCCTGGGGGACATTGGTGCCATCACAGCCTGGGGACACCAATCCATCACAGCCTGGGGGACATTGGTGCCATCACAGCCTGGGGGACACCAATGCCATCACAGCCTGGGGGACATCAATCCATCACAGCCTGGGGGACATTGGTGCCATCACAGCCTGGGGACACCAATGCCATCACAGCCTGGGGGCCACCAATCCATTACAGCCACCAACGCCATCCCAGCCTGGGGACACCAATGCCATCACAGCCTGGGGGACATTGGTGCCATCACAGCCTGGGGACACCAATGCCATCACAGCCTGGGGGACATCAATCCATCACAGCCTGGGGACACCAATGCCATCACAGCCTGGGGACACCAATGCCATCACAGCCTGGGGACACCAATGCCATCACAGCTTGAGGGACAGCAATGGCATCACAGCTTGAGGGACATCAATCCATCACAGCTTGAGGGACACCAATGCC